GAGAGTTTCTGGGGCGTCTGGGGCGTCCCGTCTCCGCCCTGTGATTGAAGAAATTCTTCTTCTGGAAAAATGATGTCTGGTTGAAGTTATACGCTGGTCGAGGGTGAGATCCTTGGAGTTCCATATCATATGCAACAAAGGGACTCTTGCAATTCTGACAGCAAAGTGATCTATTAACCACTTCTTTATAGTAGTGATACCTCACTGAACAAAATGGACAGACAGTCCAAAAAGTAGCATGATTATGACCGAACCCCGAGTGTCCGTGCTGTTGAGGGGGCTGATGTTGAGGAACGAATCTTGTAAAGTTGTTTCTGAAGTTAGCTTGAACCCCAACATCAAAGGTTGAAGCAGCTTTGTGTGGAGATCGATGCGATACTGTCGGTTTTCGTCTCATATCATGCAATCGACGTTTCTCTTGGTCCAACAAAATTCTCTGAGCTTCACCAACCAACTTGAAAGCAGCTTCAGCACCCATAAATTTGTTTTTGTCGGGATGAAGTAGAAGAGCATACTTCCGGTACTGCTTCCTAATTGTCGCCTCATTTGCCGTTTGCTCGATCTGAAGAATACCGTACCAATCCATCTCATTCCCAGACAGTTTCTTCTCTGCCGCACAATGCACATCACAAACCATAAGCATTTGTGAAATATTCTCCCCGTCAGGATTGAGCTGTTGAGCCCGGAGAGCTAACTTACGAGCCCCGATGAAATCTTTGATTTCCATCTTCTTCTCAGCAATCTCCATTGCTCTAACGGCTTCATCTTTGTTGCAACTCATAACTCGTATAACGATTGGCCTCACTCAGATGACTCGAATACAGAATATGTAACGCAAATCAACTTTTACATAACAGCACAATGCTTGAATTATTCTCCGTGCTAAGTTACCGACGCTTCCAAACCATGCCCGAAGCACAACGGATTCAAATCAAGATCGTTGCTACAATTTCGCACAAGTTAAACCAATTAATAAATTTTAAACACATGGAAAATCAGACAGATAAAGAGATAATACCTAGTGGAGAGCTGTTCAAATCTTTATAAGCATGCAAATCAATTTGAGGGACAAAGTATTCCGAGTATTCACCTAATCAAACAATGGAAATGCAAAATGATTAAGAATTACTTGAGGGCAACAAAACGGAAGCCACAAATGACCTCATATCATAAAGACATTACAAATGGGAAATATGAAGCAAAGGGGTTTCTCCCCGTCCCAATAATCGTCCCAAACATAGGTCTCTAAACAATTCCAATGGGAAAATTTGAACTCCATCGAAATTCTAATCGACTTCAGACTCTCCATCAACTTGTATTAAGCTAATTTCGATGGAGTTCACATCGTTTTGGGAGAAGAACAAAACACCCTTTATAAAGGTATGTAAACCTCTCCCTAGCAGACACATTTTAAAAACTTTGAGGGTAAGCCCGAAAGGAAAATTTCAAAGAGGACAATATCTGCTAGCGGTGGGCTTGAGCCGTTACAGAAACTATGATAATGTTAAAGGAGGGGGATTTGAATCTTCAACCTTTAAAATGTGCTCCATTGGTCATGTGAAGAGATGGGTACAAATATAAAACTCCTTCCGTTTCGACAATCGCTACTCACTACTAGTGACGAGATGTATGCATGTTTAACAAACTATCAAGAGGTTTGATCCTATCCCAAACTACGCAACTAATTCTTGTCTAACTCACTCTTCCCATTGCCACCAAATTACAAAAGACCATGCCCAACCCTTAAAATCTTAGAATTTTAAGCGATACATGATAAACAAATGTAGTTGGGTTGGATAGTTGTCTCGTAAAATAGTGAGATACGAACAACGTGATGGTGCGAACACAAACAACTAATGTTGTTATCAACCAAATTTTATATCCTAGTTAGGTAGCCAGCATACGATTCGAAAAAATTAACACAAATTAAAAAGTACTATAAAATAAAATGAAGATTGTAGGAAGAGGTGCTGCCCATCATCAAGATCTTGACATTGAGTAAATAAACCCATTCACTTCCGCAATCTGTTCTACAAAAACCAACCATTACTCCATAAGAGTAAAACAGGAATGCTTGGAAACTACATTAAAGCTCTGCGCTCTTGATATAGTGACAAATGTAATAAACATTTTCACGCCTCAATCGCAAAATCCGTCAAAAGGATCAAACTCCATTTCGGCTACGAAACTCTCAGCACAACCGACGCAGTAAAACCCTAACTCAACCAGAATTAGGTAAAACCCGCATTTAAGAAACAAATAAACTCAAAAAACGCCATTGAATCCATTTCAGTCGAAAGTACAAATCCAAACAGAACATAACCTCCAAATCTGTAGAAATTTGAAGACGACGATTCGATGAGGAGATTCAAATCCCCCAAACATTTTCATATATAGAAATTTCAAGGAAGAAGAATAAAAATAAAATAAAATGGGTGCTTACTGGTGCTTATTGACGGCTGAAAAGCAACAAAAACACAGAGTTGAGAGTTCACGGTCGCAATGTTTAAGCATCGGAAGAAAATCAGAGCGATTTGTGGTGAATGGATGGATTTCTTTCGTGAATTTTGAAAATGGTGGAGTGAGGGAGCTTTCCGTGAGATTCGATACAAAAATCTACTGTAATAATTCTATCACTCGCTAATCTCATTTTATACGCTCGCTGAGTGAACAAAAAAAAAGATTATTGGTTTGAATATGAAATTATCCAAACATTCTTAAAGTTGTAAAATTACTCATTTAGTCCTTAAATTAAATTAAATTAAATTACCAGTTTAATTTTGTTTCTAATAATTTTTTTTTAATCGCTTAAAATCCAATTTTATATTTCATTAATTACTCTATTATAAAAAATTTGAACAAGTCAATAGGCGTTGGTGGGAAATGTATTAAAATTTATAAGCGTGTTAAATATCTTTTTAAATAATTTTATAATTTAACTCATTCAATACAATAACGTTAATTTAATAACTTTAAAATGTTTTAGTTATGTTTTTTTTATTAATATTGAAATAAAGTATATTTATAAAGTATTTTAAGGAGGATTGACGTGTAGGTCCATTAATTAAAATATAATCCCTCTGACTTACGATATAGAGGTCCAAAAGTATTTACTTTTCAAGAAATGAATGAGGATAGTAATCTCGAGCATAACGATAAAGGCATGTGTCACGGGGTGGGGTAGATATGGGATATCAAAAACTTTCTTGTTCCTATTTTTTCTTATTTGTTCTCCATCTCTGAGCGGGAGAAAAAAAACATTCTTTAAAAAAAATAATAATATATACTTTTCATTTTTTAACATAAATCCTTAGGTTTCAATTTTTCGTATGGAATGACAGCGAATACTACGAAAACAAAATAACTCAAATGATAATAACAAAAATTACATGGGAACCATTTGTAAAACATAAAATTCATCAAAATTGTATTTTATAAAGTTTTTTTCTCGATAGGAGCTTCTAAGTGAAATTTAGAAAATTTCGTTCAGAAAATATATGTATATTTATATTAAGAGAGGGGGACAAGACATGTTTGTGAACTGGGAGGGGACAGAGAGAAGGAATATAATCTCTATCCCCAATCCTATTTATCTAAGGGAGAAATTTCTCTCCATTTTGCGTCTAAATGTGAAATCTCTACCATTCCGAGCATGTTAAATGGACATTGACAAAACTAGGTTAAACTATAATTTTGATATACATTTAATTTCAATGATTTAAAACGTTAAATTTCATCCTTATGATTCAATAAAACTGTGTAGATACATAAAATAAACTATTTTCGAGAGTTTTATCCAATGTGAAAATCAATTATTACATTTAAAAAGACACGAATTAAAATTTTATTTTATTTATTTTCTTGTTAAGAGACCAAATTTGTAAATTAACCGTTTAAATATTAAACAAATTTACACCGTTGTCATGAAAAGTGTGGAACAAATAAAATAGATGTTTACTGTCATCTATAATATATATATATATAACTTATGTAATTGTTAAAGATTATTGGGAGAAGAGTACTAGAACGAGACGTTGATCCTAAATTTATAAGTAACCAATACTATATTTTGAGTCGTGTGATTCCTAATAATTACATAAAAAAATAAAAATTTAATTTATATTTATTTCATAAATTTTAAATTAGTTGATAATATTATGGTAAATCTATCTGATTAAATTAATAAAAATACCTTCAAAATTTGCACTAAATAATATCCTTAAAACTCTTAAAAGCTTCGATAATACTCCAACTTAAACAAAATCTCAACAATACCATTAAACTTTTAAAAATATCGATAATACTCTCAAAAATTTTAAAAATATCTAAAAAAATATCATTACACTTTCATTCAAAAATTTCCTTCAAAAATATCATTTTAACAAAAGTTCTGGACAATTATCTTAAGATTTAAAAATTTTCAATAATATTATTACTACTAATATCCGGTTTCAAAAATAACATTAAGTTTGGAAATGGTCTATTATCATACGGTAATTTTTTTTCAACCTTTTGTAATAAATCTAAAATGTTTTTTTAAATTTTTTTTTAAATTGAAAGATATTTTTGAGACTTTCCTTTTTTTAGATTAAAATATTATTGAAATTTTTAAATTTTTAAATTTTTAAAGATTAGGGAGAAAGTTATTTTCATTAATTTAGTCCATTTATTATTAATATTATTTAAAATTGGATATCTATGGTCTTTCCTCTATCATTTTTAAAAAATACTCTGTTTTTAACGAATCAAACTTATTAATTTTACTTTTATCAAATTTAATAAAAATCAACTTAATTAATTTAAGATTTTAAAAAAGAAATTTAGATATTTTCAAATACACGGCGGGAAAGTTTAGACTAATATATATATATATATATATAATTTCGTGGTAGAATTTCTAAAATGTTATAATTAATAATTAATTTTTTTTTTTTAATTTTGTGAAATTACAAGTATTTATACCAATATTTTATTAAGGCCAATGGCCAGCATTCTCGCACGTTGAACTCGAATCACATCTTTTCGTTCTTCATTTCTCCCTCCCTTCTGTTCATCCGAATAACGATTTATGAAGCTTTTCATTCGTCGCCTTCCATCGCTTCGGTGTATCTGCACAAATCGTGGACCTCTCCATTTTGAATCTCGGCAAAGCGAACCGAAGTAGTGTGGAGTGAGTATAAAATTTCTGGAAGTTCCATTGGCGGCTGAAATTTCTCGATAACGTATTGGAGCAGTATTTTTCGTCAATCTGTAAATTTCTCTGTTGTACTCTGTTAATTGTTCCAATCATTGACGGCGATAGTTTCGATATTCCAGATTGTGCATTTGTAGACTCTTGACAGTGGAAGGAAGAAGGCGATCGAGTAATTGGCTATTACGCGCGTCGATGTATAGAAGATGATCGAGATTCTGTATGAAGCAAACCAACAGTTTCGAGGCGTATGTAGCTGAAACTTCGAAAAAACAATCACCATTAGAGGTTGCTGCATCTATTCAATTTCTGACTAGTTGAAATTTAATTTGGCAGTATATCTAAGCTGGAGTTTTACGAGATTGAGGTTTCTGCGGGAATATGTTGTGCTTAACGAATCGGCTGTATACTCATTCTTCACTGATCGCAGTTTAGGTTCTTGATTCCTTAGATAACCAGATTGAGCTCAATTTTCTTTTACTTTTAAGAGTTTCTATTTTACAGTTTTTGCTGCTGGATCATCTAAAAAGCTCATTCTCGATTGAAGTGTTTTAGAAACATCATTTTCTTCCAAGGTTTACGTCAGATAATTTCCGTTTTGTTTTCCGCCAATACTGCCTAAGCTTAATCAGGGAGGAAACATCTGCTCAAACACGGTCAGTTTTGGAATACATTATTGGAGACTTCATGAACTACTAGGATTCGGTTCGTCATGTAATCTTACGAGTGACTCAGTAAAGTTTTCTGATCTTTATTCAGCCTATCCGCTAATTTCTCTGTTGTACTTGGCTGATTTTCTGGTTATCACTAACACTACTTTTGATATGCTGTATCGAATAGTGATTTCGTACACTTTGTACCTTGGAAGAAAATAGAGGATTGAGTAACCAGCAACTCAAGGCGTTGATATATGGCAGATGATCAAGATTCTGCTCGAAGCGAGTAGAACTCACTTACTGTGCGAAGAAGGAACTCTCAGTTTGGTCCGAGGCGTATGTATCTAAACCTCGGAAAAGTAATCTCCCAAAGAGACTGCTGCAGCGAATCAATCTCTGACTAGTTGAACTTTTGGTTTTGCATTATATCTACGCTGGATTTCGAACGGGATTGAGGTTTCTGCGAGATAATCTCGTGCTTCTCAAGCTGACAGTAAGCTCATTCTTCACTGATTGCAGGTTAGGATTTTGGATTCCTAGAATGACCAGATCGTGCTTAAAGTTCATTTACTTTTAAGATTTTCTATTTCATAATTTCTCCTGTTGGATCATCTAAGAGCTCACATTCGATTGAAGTAGGTTGCAATTATTAATTTCTTCAATTAACTTCTCAACACTCCTCAAGTTTATGAAACATAATTCCCGGTTTGAATTCCACTAATACTGCTTTTACCAGGGAGGAACATTACTCAAATTTGGTCAGTTTTGGTCCTCGTATAGCACTTTGTTGGAGGAGACTTTATGAGCTAAGAAATTCTGGCATAAGGCGTCAGGTACTTCTACAACTCTATCTTCTCATTACCGAACATAAATATTTTTGTTAAGCAGGAAAATGCGCTAGCGCTACAGAATTATTTTGATATTTTCAGAACAATCTAGATCTCATTATACGTTTCTATTTTGAGAATCCAACATCCATGCATACATTCTTTTTTATTTGACTCCGCCCGGAGGTCAAACGTTTTATGCTAGTTTAGTTATGCTAGGTGTGAATCCATACACACCATCTATAATTAATTAATCCTAATCTTAATAATTAGATAAAGGAACATACTTAATTAAAGACTAGTTTTATGTATTATGTATCTAGAATTTAAATAATTCATTCAGTAGAGCATAACAAAATGACCTTTTGTCTTCTTATCTGTGTATTTAATAGAGGTAATGTTATAAGTGAAATTAAGACCCCATGGTTATTCACAAGTGGTTTTGCTAGTCTATCTAGAAGTAAATAAAAATATGTTAAGTCTCGACTCTAAGATAAATCAAAAGAACTTTACTAAGTCTTAGGATCTAATGAGGGCTATTGCCAAAACATATCTTAAGCAGAATCAAGTAGTTGAAAAGTCTAATAACGTTTAGAAAGATATGTACCTCTATGAGATCAAATCTCTATACCCGAAAAAATGTCAAGGTTCCAAGATCCTTAAACTTGAACTGCCTATTTTAGAAAACTTCCAATGATCAGGGCCACTCGCATCAGATCCAGTAATTAAAATATCAATGGCGTAGACTAGTTAAACTTTTTGAGAGAAAGATCTCGAGCACCTTGGTGACAAAGGAATGTTAGGTTCATAAATTATTGAAAACCAGGAACAAAAGCAGCACCAATAAAAAAAAGAGAACCATTCGCTCGATGCTTCCTCTTAAATTTTTTTTCTTCTAATAAGATAGTGATTCAATTATCGATCTTTGAATTAGTAATTAAGAGTCTATTGAACTCTAATGTGTCTAGACTGACAATCATATATTGATCTACGAACCATAAAAATCAATGGATTTCATCATGGTCTGCCTACTGACCAATAAGAGCCATGAAAAAATGGGATTAGAGAGAAATGAGTTTGATAACGTTCTTAGAGTTTAATATTCTAGATGTTTCACATAACCAAATATAATAGTCAAGTGGTTGTCCTATAGAAGCTCATTTGGACGGATTCCCTCATGACTAGTGGAAAACTTGGGAATAGATCCACATAATCTCCTGAAAAAAGATCACCCTTGAGGAATATATTATTTGCATCAAGTTGCTCAAAACGCCAAAAAAATCTTACAGAAATCCTAACGTTCTTGTTGAGTATATTTTAATTCTTACCGAGCTTTATAAGAACTACATAAAGCATTCCATCTGATAGCGATCTTCTTCAACTTTCTTCCCTCCATACAATGTACTTACTACAAGAAACTCTCACTGAGTTCGACAAAATTCAAATCCTAAACATATCGTCCCTATGTTTGGAATTTTGTTCGGTGCCCTCTGAAAATGCAAATGCAACCCAACTTTTGTTTGGCATTTCCAATGAATCCTCACCTAACATTTTATCAGTTTCAATTTGGTAATACTTCTGTGCATCTATTTCCTTGATCTTCCCATGTCCCTTCGTTCGCTCTAAAGAAGCCCTTTCAAAACAAATTAGGCCAATTGTTTTCTTCCGGAGCAAAAACTCCCTCCACATTATCTGCTGATTCGGCTCAACAAGTTTGAGAAATGGGATTAATCATTGGAATTCGAGTAATTAGAATAGAGAGAGCGTAGTAATTAGGGTGATGAGTGAAATTTATAGTTTGGTAAAATTGAGTTGTGATCAATTAGGCTGAACTTTAGGATCTGAGTCATCGTAAATTAAGGAGAACCTATATCACGGGTTATAGAGGAATCGTCAGCTACCAAACAAGCTGCGGCATAAAAGTTCAATCTTTTGTCCCATCCCCAAACATTACAACCTGTATTCCCTCCACAACATCCACTTACTACCCGCCACGTGGAATTTGGCCTACCTGGCTCCTCCATTCTCCCATTTCAAAGGTCCCACGTCATAATTTCAATCAAATGTCCCCTAAAACCATCATCCTCTCCGGTCTCGGCAGATCAGTAAAGGCAAGGGTTAAAAAAAAATTTAAAAATCAAGACAATAAAACAAAATAAAACAATACATCCCCCCCCCTCCTCCCTCGATATTACAAATATATTACACTACCACGCCCTCGAGTTAGAGGAGAGAGTCCACTGATTTCATCATCATGAGAATGGCCTGCTTTTGGTATTGTTCAGCACTCATTACGGCTTTCATGGCCACACCTTCGCTTGCTTTACCATTTTTGACCTCCACCACTACCAGTTCCCCTTTTCAAGAACTCTCCCCTGAAATTGCTCCACTGCTGCCTTCGACAGGCGATCAGATTCCTTCTGCAACTGGTTCTATTCCCACCATTCCCTCAAACCCCAGCCCTCCAAATCCAGACGAGTTCGAAGCGCCTGCTCCTGATCCCTCTGCCCTTTCCCCATTCGGCCTGCCAGCTTCCTTCGCAGCGCCTAAGCCCCACCTGCCTTGCTCTTCAAATGCGCTTCTTCTTCTATCAACCTTATTAGCAGCACTACATGCCTTCTTTCTGCTCTTACATTGAGCCCAAAAAATGTCTGGAGTCCCACTTTGTACTTGATTCATAAAATCTCCCATGTTCCCCTCCCTCCTTTTTTTTTTTTTTTTTTTTTTGTTAATTTCATTTTTTTAGTACCTTTAGTTAAGCTTCTTTCAGTTGGAAAATGCAGACCATTTGTACTACAATTTAACGCATAGTGTTTCAGTCTTCAATTTTAGATGGGCTGCTTGATTCCTGCAAGTATGTTTAGGTACTAAGCACTTGCATTTTACCTGCATCATCTGCAAGGTTTGATAGAGATAGATGTCCACGTTTGAATTTCCCGTCATATCTAATTTCCTTTTCATACAAAATCTGCATTAATTCTAAAAATTAAAAGGAGAAGAACAACTGTAGAAGAATCTAAGATAAATAATGGGTAAATCTCGTGTCTTCAGTTCTCTTAGGTGAGTGAGCCCAAAGATTTTGTTAGTGTGAGTAGGAGGGTAATTTTGGTGGCACATGGGGGTATGAATATATGATTCCTTGTGCATGTGATGCAACACTAACTGTGAATTTGTTTGTTGTGTCTCAGTTCAAAAATTGAGCCACATGTCTACCAATCAATATGTTTTCTGAATTGTGGCGTTTAGGTAAGCCTTCCTTGTCTGGTTTCTTTTGTCATAATCAGTCTTTTATTCATAATATACTATTATTCATTTCATTTGACACACACACATTTTATGAGAAGGCATTCAGGTATTTGGGTTGAGTTTAGGTTAGGTGGGTGAAAAACAAGGGGGTAGTTAAAATGGCCACGCCATTTTTGCCTTTCACTTATTGTCAAAAACTGCAAGGGGTATTAAATAGAATAGGCTTTCTCACGTGAGAGAAGGGGACAGACGAGAGTTAATTAATTAACATTCCGCGCCACTAAATTGAATTACGGGTCTGTTGTTTATGATAGATTCGAATTAAAAGAAATTGGCACTGATTTTTAGTTGATCGTTTTTAGAATTTTCTATAATAAAAAAAAAAAAAAAAAGATAGTTTACAAATTTATTAAAACTTTTTTCTTTTTTTGTGTTTAATAAATCTATATAGTTTTTAAGTAAAAAAAATTATTAAACACAAAATTCAATTAAATACAAATAAATTGTTTTAAAATTTTAGGGTTGGATTAGATTTAGGGTTAACCTCTTTTTAATTAATTATTTCGTTTAGAAATTTAAAATTAAAATTTTAGGATTGGATTAGATTGTCGCTTCAAATAGTTTGTTAAACTTCAGTTTGAATTTAAGCGTAATTTTGATTCGTTAGGGTTCCAGTTTGCTTATGGGTTTTTTTATTCTTTTAGAAATTTACGGAAGGGAAAAAAAATTAATTTCAAAAGGAAAATATAGATTTTAAAATATTAATCTTTTAAGATGTCATAATCCTCCTACATAGATTTTAATTAAAGAAAGTAAAATATCACCAAACCTTGTTAAATTTATAAGAAAACATTAACACAACAATTGTAAGAAACCAGTATGAGTAGAGATGAGAGAAGTAGAACTGATTCAAAATTCTCGAGAAGGGTCCCAGTTTTAAGAGTAAATGTGGCGACGCATCATAATCACTCTAGAAGAATTTAAAAAGTTGAAAAAACTAGCAAACAAACAAAACCCAAATGGATTTTAAAATTAAAAACCCAATAATAAGCAGCAGCGGGGTTTTTATAATAGTAATTATGTAGGCTTGGAAATGAGAGTCTCGATGAGATCAGCAGCCTCTTGGACGGTGGTGATGGTTTGGGCGCTCTCTTCTTCCACGCTGATGTCAAATTCCTCTTCCAATCCCATCACAATCTCAACCTACATCCATCCACCCACCATTCCAATTCAATTTTAATCCTTCCTCCCCTTTTTGCTCATAAAATAAAATAAAACGGGAAAGAAAAAACAATCATACTTAAATGCTGATTAAGTTTTTAGATATAAAACCTAATTCGACCTACCTATAATTAATTACAGGCATACATAATAAAATGACTTTTTGAGAGCTTAACCATTTTTAACACTCTAAAACAATCAGTCATTCCAAACAACAACTACGTAATATAGACTGAGTTAAAAAGTACTAAGAAAAAAAACCTAAACTAATTTTGTAAAACCGTTCTCTCTGTAATATTATCAAACGGTTCCGAAGAGTATTCATTTAACACTTTAAAGTTTTTTTTTTTACGAAAATATATGTATTAAAAATGATAAACACAGAAAGCGAAAATCAGCACCCAAATGAAGAAATTAGGAAATATTTAACCTGACAAGCCGGACGCTACTACTTATGGATGATAAATTTAACAAAAAAAAATATATTATACCGTGTCGAGAGAATCAGCTCCAAGCTCAGAAAACTTTGATTCGCCATTGACCTTAGAATCTTCAGAAAGCGCAAGCTGTTTCCTCACGATTCCAGCCACCTTCTCTACGGTCTCTGGCTTAGCCTGTTCAAGACAAGTGTTTCACAAGTTAGGTAACTGCTAACATTACTACATGGATGCAATAAAGGAAATAAGGCATCCTCCATTGGAATACAATGTATGTTGTTGAACATACAAACAAACAGCAAAACCATACCAACGCTCTAACCCATAAACTCACAAATAACGCCCACAGTGGCCAAAACATTACGAGGTCTGAAAATGTAACTGTCCAAACCCACCGCTAGCGAATATGGTACATGTATCGCCGTCATCTATTAACACCCGTCTGCTAGGGAGAGATTTCCACACCCTTATAAAGAATGTTTCATTCCTCCCTCCAACCGATGTGAGATCTTACAGAAGACCATTCATTTTCAACAAGTGGATGTGGATTCCTCTCGTTTTAAATATGTGGAATCAAGCAAATGTGATAATGAAAAGCAAAATCGCCACTCAACCCAAGCCTTAAGCATATGGATTACCATAATTATATTAATACTTCCAAGACTCCCGGGCTTGGAAATTGGTCCAAGACCCTAAGAAGAGGAAATCAATATCAATTGAGATATATTGGAATCGACATTCTACTGCATGGTATGCCTTCTCTGATACCATGTTAAACCATCACTCATCACTCAACAACCAGAAACTTGCGCGATAAATTTAATTGTATCAATCAATACTTGAACAACAACAACCAACAGCTGCCAGCTATTTAAATGCAGACTTTCTCTCGCACTTTTCATCTATCTATATCTTTTATTTTCTTTTTAATTAATTTGAAGTCTTATC